GAAAAATTGGGGTATATACCCAAAATATTGAGATATTTGCACATACATGTCCAAAGTAACTTTATTCACAATAGCCAAAATTTAGAAGCAATGCAAATATCTATTGACAGTTGAATAGAAAAAAAAATGTGGTATATACATACAATGGAATATTATTCAACAGTAAAAAGAAAGATTTTTACAACATGGATGAACTTTGAGGATATTATGCTCAAAGAAATAAGCCAGTCACAAAAAGATAAATACTGCATGATTCCACTTAAATGAAGTACCTAGAGTGGTCAAATCCATAGAGACAGAATGTAGAATGGTGGTTTCCCAGGGCTGGTCAAGAGAAGGAAATTATTGTTTAGCAGGCACAGAGTTTCAGTTTTGCAAAATAAAAGAGTTCTGAAGATGGACTGTGATGATGGCTGTACAATAATGTGAATGTACTTAATGCCACTAAATTGTACACTTATAAATGGTTAACATGGTAAATTTCATGTTATGTGTATATTTCTAAAATTAAAAATAATTTTTAAAAAATTTTAAAGATACTTCCTTTTAAGATTTCTACCCTTAAACCTACTTTCCAAATGTAAGTATCAGAGGAAGTTACAATACAAGATCAATTACCAACCAACCATTACCATTCAATTTTTAGGCAGGAGAAGCTGGGATTAAATTGAACAGAATAAGGATTTTTGGATTGTGGAACATTGACTGAGCATAACAGGTGTGAGGGTGTACAAAATGATCCACATGATGGCATTAAATTCTCCTGGAGGAGTGACGAAATGAAGGACAAGAGTAGAGAAACAAGAGAAGTCACTCTTGGACTCTTCACAATGTCCTTCTAAGAGCCAGTAATTATTGATCATTTTATGGATAAGTCTGGTATGGGGTAGGTAAACCTATAGTAGGTTGTAATAAGGCTATTAAATAGAATGAACTCTTAGTATAAAGTTTCTCACACAGAACACACTCAATGACTTTTATTGAATAAAAGGATATATGAACAAGTTTTTTTTAATCCAGCTGCATTATTCTGTTAATACATTATCTTCTATTTTTAATTTCTTAATTTAAATACTTATATCTCTATTCAAGAGGAAATATTTATATTGTGCTATCTTTTTAGGTGTTGGATTAAGATTATGCTAGCTCCAAAAAATATTTAATGGTCTAGGTCAGGGCTGGGGAACTTGCAGCCTTAAGACCACATGTGACATTCTAGGTCCTTAGGTGCAACCTTTTGACTGAACCCAAATTTTATAGAACAATTCCTTTTAATTTTATTAATATATTTTTCTTCATCTTTTATATTTTTATTTTATTTTTAAAATGAATGTATTTAAAATACCAAAGAATAAAATAAGTTTCAAAGAAATAATCCCCCCAGATTGACTGGCACAATTAGAAAATTAGTAAGCCATAGGAGCTAAATTGACGTCTGCTATACTCATGATTTAGTTCTACCTATCACCACCTGGCTGGTGTCACTACTGCTGGAGACTGGTTGGCAAGAGTTTATGGTGGTCAAGTTTGCCAGTCTGTTATCAGCTTTTGACAATGGTGCACTGTGTTTCTGTTTGAAGTGGAATTTGTGAATAGTTGCACAGTGCCTGACTGTATTTTTTAATTCTGTCTGCTTAACAGCACATCATGTCAAAGAAGACCAAGAGAGCACTGAAGAAAGAAAACAAATTTTATAATGAAGATTGAGAATTGCATTATTATCTTGCTTCTGCTAAAGATAATTTACTTGCTTTGTGACACTGTAATATCAACATTAAAGAAATTCAATACTCATCAGCATTAAAACACTCATAAGGACCACAAATATTTTAAATTAGAGGGAGATGTATGAAAGGATGTATTACAGAAATAAAAAGACGAAAAGCAAAAGCAAAGACAATTCTTTCAAGCATCAATAAGACCTGGAAATAATGCCACTGAAGCAACTTATAAAATAGCTCATATACTCAGGGGGAAAAGGGAAGCCATTCAGTGATGTAAAAATTGTGAAAGAATGTATTGTCGAAGTTGTAGGATGTTTATCCTGATAACATTTCCAAGTACAAACGACTGCCTCTTTCAAGGAGAACCATAACTGATCAGCAGCATGAATTAGCCTTCAACTTAACAGAAAAAATTCATGCAATGCTTCAAAAGGAACATATGTATTATTCAATTGCTTTGTATTAATCAGCTGATAGTACTGACTCAGCTCAGGTTTTATACTTCATTCGGGTCATAGTAGAAGATTTTCTTTGCTTCGAAGACTTACTCACTTTGGGCATTCTCGAGAACAGGCCATGGGGGATAGATGTCTTCAACAACTTTCAAGACAAATGCAGTGAAGCTGGACTGAATGTGGTAAATTTAGTGAGGGTATGTACAGACAGCGCACCTTGCATGACAGGAAAACATGAAGAGTTTATTGAACAGATAAAAATGTGTTAACAGATCCAGATGTTCTGATTTCTTTTCATTGTATTTTGCATCAGCAAAATCTCTGCTAAAGCTACCATTTTAAGTGACACTTTTTGACAGGTTATAAGTATTGTTAACTATATTTGTGCAAATATAACATGGCATCATCAGTTTCCTAATATGCTAAAGTTGAATGATGATGAATTTATGGTGGATTTGCCCTATCATTCTAAGTGAGTTGATTACCGCAAGGACATGTGTTAGACAAAATTTTATCTCTGTGACAACAGGTAGTTAAATTTTATGAAGAACAGAATCAGCAATGTGAATTCTTGAAAGATTTCTATAGGAATACAGCATTTTGTGTGATATCATGTTAAATCAAAATGACTCGAATATTTCTTTGCAAGGTAAAACTAAGTATATATATGATATGTGACCAAAAAAAAAAAAATCCAAGCATTTCAAATAAAGCTATCTTTTTTAAAACACTTCTTCAAAAGGAAATTTCAAATAAACATTTTCCCCAGTTAGCAAAGGTCATCAATGAACAGGATGATATATGTGAATCATTTGAAGAATACTCAGCTGTTATAGACCTATTAATTGGAGACTACAATGAAAGGTTCACTGACTTTGAGAATCATGACATCACACTCAAATTAGCATTTTAGCCTCACCTAGTTGATATAACCAAGGTATCTAAAGAACTACAGATGGAATTGATTTTAAAGTTGTTGTTGATGCTAAGAAACACCCAGTTGAAATATGGAAAAATACAGTAGAATACTCACACGTTTGGCAACATGCCCCAAAAATGTTTTCTTGCTTTTCAACCACTTATTGCTGAAAATCTATATTCTCCTGCCTAACCCAAATCAAGGCTCCCTTAAGGTCACAAATGACTGATACCCATCTAAAGGATCAGCTGAACCTGACCTCCATGCTGCAACCAAATATTCAAATGCTTTCCAACAAAATGCAACACAACAAAGTCATTAAAAGATTAGTTAACTTTAAAATTAAAAAATAGTGTTTATTTTTAGAAATTATTAAATACATAGTAGTTAGGTTTTTACAAAATAACATACATTTTTAAGTATATCTAATTGAAGTTTCTTGAATGAGGCTTATTTGATTATAGCTAAATTAATACAACTTTCCAATATGAAAATGTTCCCCATCCCTGGTCCAGGTAATTGAATATATTGCAAATTATCTGTACTTTGACAGTTAGAAACTCTTAGCTATACAATCAAGGTGATTTTTTAAATAGACTTTCTTTGTACTTGAAAAATAAAAATGAATATAGAAGAGAATATTTCATTGAAAATATATACACACAGATGAATAAATAGGAATATATACAAAGAAATTCATTTGAAAATAAAGGTAAGAAACTTCAAAACATAATTAAAGAATATAAAAATTCCTTTCTAAATTGATAAATTAGCATTTTCTTAAATAAAAAAATAAAACAAGTTAATATTCTATATGTTAATACACTAATTAAATGTAATTCCAACTTTCTGGTTTTTCAAATATTTTTTGTTTTGTTTCTTTTAATAGATGAATATTGAGCAGAAGGAAATTGGGACAGAATTTTTAACATTTATACTGAAAGCTAAATGTGCAAGAACTGCAAAAACATTCTTCAAAAGAGTATTGATGAGGAATAATTTATTCTAACAGGTAAGAAAACTTATGTAAAACTACCTTCTGAGATTGGCATAGAATAAAACAAATAGATTAGTAAAATTAAACAAAGCATGTGGAAACATTATAGTGAAAGGGGAAATTTAATATGCTAAAAAGGCAGTGATTCAATTTAGGAGAAAAGAATGTTTTCTTCATGTCCAAAAAAAAAGAGGTTTATGGCTCCATGGGGAGATCCCCCACATGTGCATCCAATTATTGACCACTAATTATTGATTATTTTATGGATAAGACTAGTGTTGGTGAGGTAAGGCAAACTTACAGTAGGGAAATGGAGTTCTTCCAGGCTAGATATGTTAACATGGTAGAATGAGCTCTTAGTATAAATTTTGTCACATAACAATCACTTTTAGAAAGTAAAAGTATCACTTATAGCCAACAAACCTAAATCAAACTAATTCATTATGCAATATTTTTAATACAATAACATGTTTTTGAAAAAAAGAAAACATATAGAGAGATTTCAAGACCTCCCTTATTTAAAACAATGCCTGTAATGTAATATGTACTCAATTAAATAAATTGATCTGAAAATCTAACAATTCACACAGATTTTTCCTGATATTTCAGTCATATTTTTCTGAACTTCCTTAATCAATTATTCTAGCTTAATCTAATGGCCAAAAGGCAAATTATTTATTATGGTTGTTCTTTCTCTTCTATCTTGTCAAAAATTGTATGTTTAACGTCAAGCCAAGGATCCAGGGATAAGAATGTTTTTGATGAATGATAACTCTGGTTATGTTCTATGAACCTTCAGAAGTATTTTCTTAGAGTAGTGTTTTCCCTCAAACCCTACACCTGTGCTGCCATAGACCTAGCCACTTCCTGACTGTGATGCTGATTCCCTACAGCAGGTGGATGTCTCAAGCCAACTCCAGGGGTTTTTGTACAACTTCCTCCAACAGTCCTCTCACTGTGAGGTCTTTCAGTGCACAGAAATACATCGCTGAGTCCTCCAGTTGTGAAGCTGAGATGGTAAGGTGGATTGATTTTCTTGCCTTCTGGAAATTCAATGAGTAGCGACCTTCAGTTGCATTTTGCTCATTATAGGAGTCTTGCCGAATAAGGAAAATCAACTCCCCACTGCTGGGCTGCTTGTACCAGAATAGAGAAAAACGACTAACACTGGTGTCGTATGCGCAGTCCAGGGTCACAGCCTCCTTCTCCTGCACCCACATTGCTGGTTGGGACTGGGTTACCTTCTGGGCCATACCAGATCCTGAAGGAAAAAAGATAGAATCAGAAAGTTTAGAGATAAGTGGTGTGGGACAAGGAGATTCTATTTTTACACCCTGTTACCCTCCTTCCCAACATCCCCATGAGACAATTCCTGAACCCCCAGTCTTAGATCACAGAGGAAGCATGTTCCCACTGGGCCATCCCTACCTAGCCACATTGAAGCTGTGACCACCTTCAGCAGGCTGCAGAGCAACATGCTTCTTCTCCTTCAATTCCAGGGCTCTGCACTGTGAGGTGAGCCTGACAGGGTGTGAGAAGAATTACTGGGCTATGTGCTGCTGCTGCTGCTGCTGCCCTAGAACAGGAAACAGAAGTTTCCTGGTGTAGCAAGTTGGTGTGTATCATGTCAAACTTCTGTATGTACTGGCTCAGAATCTCACCTAAAGCAAACTTCCTTTTGGATTAATCAACCCTTAATGTGATAACACTTAAATCTGAAGATAAACATGAAAATTTTGAAAGGAAATAATTCCACCAACTACTATGTTCAGTCATTGTATTTTTTGTTATTGTTGCTTTCATTTTTTGATTTCAATACATTTAGCAGGTATTTTTTCTTTTTGTTACATGAACGAATTGTATAATGCTAAAGTCAGGCCTTTTAGTGTACCTGTCATAGAATAATGTTCATTGTATACCCATAGGTAGATATTTATCCCTCCCTCTACCCTCCTTGGACTTGTCAATGTCCATTACACCACTTTATGACATAGACATCTCATTTAGCTCCCACTTATAATTGAGAACATGTGGTATTTGTTCTTCAATTCCTGAGATACCTCACTTAGGATAATGGTCTCCAGTTCCATCCAAGTTGCTGCAAAAGACATTATTCCATTCTTTTGTATAGCTGAGTAATACTCAATGGTATACATATGTAACATTTTCTTTATCCACTCATCAGTTGATGGGCACTTATATTGATTCCATGTCTTTGCAATTGTGAAATGTGGTGCAATAAACATTTAGGTACAGGTGTCTTTTTTATAAAATGACTTTTTTTCCCTTGGGTAGATACCCGGTAGATACCCAGTAGTGGGATTACTCAATCAAATGGTAGGTCTATTAATACTTTTAGTTCATTGAAAAATCTCCATACCATTTTCCATACAAGTTGTACTAGTTTACATTCCCACCAACAGTATATAACCATCACCACATTTGTGCCAACATCTATTGTTTTTTGACTTTTTAATAATGAACATTCTGACAGGGGCAAGGAGGTTTTCATTTTGGTTTTAATTTGCATTTCCCTGATGATTAAAGTGATGTTGAGCATTTTTTCATATGCTTGGCCACTTGTCTATCTTCTTTTGAAAAAAAAAATCTGTTCATGTCTTTTGCCCACTTTTTGATGGGGTTATTAGTTTTTTTCTTGCTGATTTGTTTGAATTCCTTGCAGATTCTAGATATTAGCCCTTCGATGGTTCAATAATTTGCAAATATTTTCTCTCATGCTGTACATTTTCTATTTACGCTGTTGATTACATTCTTTGCTGTGCAGTCACTTTTCAGTTTAATTCCTGTTTATTTATTTTTGTTGGTGCTACATTTGCTTTTGATATCTTAGTCATAAATTCTTTGTCTAGGCCAATGTCTAGAAGAGTTTTTCCTATGTCTTCTTCTAGAATTTGTATAGCATCATGCCTTACATTTAAGTCTTTAATCCACCTTAAGTTAATTTTTACATATAGTAGGAAATAGGAATCTGGTTTAATTTTTCTACATGTGGCTGTCCAATTTTTCCCAGCACCATTTACCAAATAGGGCATCCTTTCACCAGTGTATGTTTTTATCTGCTTTGTCAAAAATCAGTTGGTTGTAGCTATATGGCTTTATTTCTGGGTTCTCTATTCTGTTCCACTATTCTACATTTGTAATAGTGCTATGCTGTTATGGTTATAATAGCCTTGTAGTATAATCTGAAGTCAAGTGATGTGATGCCTCCAGATTTGTCCTCTTCCTTTTGCTATTCAGGCTCTTTTTGCCTCCATATGAAGTTTAGGGTTGTTTTCTCTATATCTGTGAAAAATTATGCTAATATTTTGATAGGAATTGAATTGAATCTGTAAATCACTTTGGGAAGTATGGACATTTTAACAATGTTAATTCTTCCAGTCCATGAACAGGGGATGTTGTTCCATTTGTGTAATCTATTATTTCTTTCATCAATATTTTGTGGTTTCCCTTGTAGAGATCTTCACTTCCTTGAGTAAGTATATTCCTAGGTATTTTATTTTCTGTGCAAGTATTGTAAATGGTATTGAGTTCTTGATGTGACTCTCATCCTGACTGTTTTTACTGTAGAGAAATGCTACTGATATATGTATCTTAACTTCATAACCTGAGACTTTACTGAACTTATTTATTGATTCTAGCAATCTTTTGATGGAGTCTTTAGGGTTGTGTATATATAAGATCACATTCTCTGTAAGCAAGGGTAGTTTGACCTCCTCTTTCCCAATTTGAATGCCCTTCATTTCTGTCTCTTACCTGATTGTTCTGGCTAAGACTTCCAGTATTATGTTGAATAGAAATAGTGATAGTGGGGACATTTGTCTTGTCCCAGTTCTTAGGAGTAATGCTTTCAACTTTTCCCCATTCACAATGATATTGACTGTGATTTTGTTATACATGGCCTTTATAATTTTGAGGTATCTTCCTTCTATACCTAGTTTGTTGAGAGTTTTTATCATGAAGAAGTATATATTTCAAAATTGCTAAAAGAATATATTTTTAATATTCCTACAAAAAATAAATTGGTGAGGGGATGGATTTGTAATTAGCTTGGCTTCTATAATGTATACATACATCAACACATCACATTGTATCTCATAAATATACACAATTATTTTTCAATTAACAACACATTTTTTAAAAGACACAAGACATGAATTATTCCAAACAAACCAAAAAGTTTAAGATAGAGTTGGTAGAACTGAACTTGTACACAGACTATTACTCAACTTGATTATAAGAATTGGTCCAGCCCTCAACTAAACCTCTCCATTATCAATTGCCATAGTGTTTCTTTGTGGAACTATAAATAAAATCTCCAAATAAATTCAAACCCTTGAAATGATGAGTTATTCCTATGAATGGCTTAAAAATTTAAAACATTTAAGTATAGAGATTGAGCCCATCCTTCAAAGTGAGGTATTACAAGGAGGGAAAAACATGCACCACGTGTACTCATCATCAAACTGGTACGAACTGGTCAACACTAAGATGTTCATGTGATAGTAATATTCATTGGGTGCCCATGACGGGGGGTAGGGATAAACCCACAACTAATGGAAGCAGAACACACTATATGGGGGAGAGACATGCTTGTAGCCCTGGCTTGGGCAGTGCTGATGCATTACATGTAACCAAAATGTTAGTACCGCCATAATATCTTGAATAAATTTTTAAAAAAAGAAAAATTGAAGGTAGTGTCAGAGGTGTACATCAAGCATGTTCTCAATGGCATGTGCTCCCTCTAACCAATACTCAGACTTCACAAAAGTTTATTTATTGTATGGTCCCATTCATATGATATCCTGAAAAAGATAAAAATATGAAAAATCAGACCAAAGTTTGCAAGGAATTGGGGGTGGGAAAGGTATGATCACAAAAGGATAGCACGAGAGTCTTTGGGGTGATGAAACTGTTCTATATCGCTGTGGGGTGGTTACATGGGTTTGTAAAATGTATTAAAATTTGAAGTGCACAGATAGAACTATACACTAAAAATAGTTTATCTTTCTATATGATAATTTTTAAATAATTTAAAATACTGACAAAATAAAGTAATTGATGTACTATCTATTTCCTGACTAGAACAGATACATAAGACTCTCTCTTACACATATATTATTTTCTCACCTTAGAAGAGAAAAGCACCAGCCATGCCAACTGTGGTAGACAAAGTAATGACTTAAAAATTCAGGTTCCAATCCCTTCAATCTGTGACTGTTACCTGAAATGGCTAAAAAAAAAAAAAAACACTTTGCAGATACACTTAAGGGAAGGATTCTGAGACAAGGAGACTACCCTGGATTATATGGACCTTAAAGGCAATCACACATATACTTATAAAAAGGAGGTAGGAAAGATTTGACAATACAAGAAGGGAAGCCATTGTGACCACAGAGCAGAGATCAGAGTGATAGGGCCACAAGCCAAGAAATGCTGGCAGCGATTAGTGATGGAAAAGGTGAGGAACAGATTCTCCCCTGCAGCCTCTGGAAGGGGCATGGCCCTGCTGACACCTTGAATTCAGGTGAAACTGATTTCAACATCAGGCTTCCAGAAAAATTAGAGAAAACATTTCTATTGTTTTAAGACACCACGTTTGTGTTAATTTGTTAACAGACAATAGGAAACCAGGATGAGGTAAAAATACACCAACCAGGGTGAAGTTTAAAGCTTGAATGTGTCTAGATCTGAGCTGTGTACTGAATCTGCACATTCTGACTAAAGAATTTTTTCTTCCATTAGATAAATTGTCACATAAGTAACTGATAAAGCAGTTAAGCCAATAGTAATAACACCCTATCTCTCTTCTAACTTGGATTTAAGAAGACATAAACCAGTAAGCTATAAGCCATGCTGCCTTCTCACTCTATTATCAGTCTTGGAGGTAATGGACCAAAAAGAGTCAATTTGCTTCTACTAGACAGGAGCTGAGAGGGAAATAATAAAAGCCAGTTGAAGTGTTGGACTACACTACTGACCTGCCTTGTTCAGATGTTTTAAACCTAATTTAACCTAATGACTTTCTCTGTAAGAACCAGCCAAATAGCTAATAATAGCCAAAGCTCAGCTAAGAGGGATTGTTCTCGATATACCAATTGCCAATTATCTCCATCCTGAGGAAGAACATGAGGGATCTTGAAAATAGCCTATCCTTGGCCAGAGGTGGGAGAACCAGGGAATTATTTGTACAACTTCTTTCTTTCCACTGATTTATCTACAACACTAAAAGAAATAATGTTTTTTAAAAAGAAACTTGTGATAGTAATGTTTAATTCAGACAAACCGTGAAGATGAAGTAGGGAGATGTACAGCAAGCTGTCCATAAATTAACTATCCAAATGCCCTCTGCCATCCACTAATAAGAGTTAAGTAAGGTGGCTAATATATATGTATAAAAATTGCCCCTATGCCCCCAAAACAAAGATTCCAATTACAAAGATAACAACAAAAATTAAATGTCTAAGAATAAATTTAATTATCTCAAAACAATAGAACTTTATCAAGAAAGACAGAGATAAATAGAAAGGAATACTATATTCTTGAATAATCAAATATATACTTTAAGGCGTTTATTCTTCATAAATAAAAGTATAAATTTAATTGAATCACAAACCCTAATACAGAGATACACTCACACCCACACATAATAGAATTCACTTTTTCCTTGTTTCTTTAGCCAACATTTACTGATTATTAACTGTGGGAAAGCTTGAGCTAAATACTACAGATAAGCAGTGGTTAAAACACACAACACTTCCATCTAAATTCTATGACAGAGTACCTATGGACAGATAGTAACGAAATTTGAGGGGAAAAAAGAATAGTTCTTTAAATCTAATCCAAAGCTCACATTCTAAAATAATTTCCCATTCTAATTTACCTCAAACACACAAACAATATGTACCATCACTGGGCTCTAAAGGAAAATCCAAGTCACATTTTCTCAATAAGAATGTGATCAGAACAGACAGAGAAGGCTGTCAAATTTTACCACAAATGTAAAGAAGAAGAAAATAAAATTGTAACTTATGAAAATCTCTCATGGAGCCATTAAAAAACAAATGTTTGAGGAGGGGACATGAAGAAATGGAAAATGTTCAATTCAAGATATAATATCCAGTAGAAAAAAATCAGGATCCAATTATAATAAAAATTTATGGAGAGAGTAAACCAAATATTAGCAATAAATTATCTAGGCATAGAATTTTAACTTTTATATTTTTATAAAAGTTTTATTAAAATTTTATAAATTTTATAATATTAAAATATTATATTTAAAATACTATAATTTTAAAATATTAATTTTATAAAATTTTAACTTTTATATTTTTGTATTTCACATATTTTCCATATTTGGCATTTAAAGTTTTAAAATCATAAAAAATAATGAATATAATTTTTGAAAGGTAAGAGTTAAAATTCCATTTATAATAGGGATTGTTATATTGATATCAAGATTTATAGAAAAGGAGTCCAAATAGCAAACATAAAGTCATCATTAAAGCCTGAATTTCAAAATAAAACTTCACTAATTCCTTTTAAAAATCCATTAAGCAAAAATAAGTCAACAAAATGATCTAACCCTTTCTGAGTTATCTTGAACATAAACTTCTTGTTTTATGCTCTTAATGTCCATCTGTTAGTTTTCACTTGCCAAAAAACAATATGAAAAATGCTGTATTTGAAGGTCTGTGCCAAAGGAAAGGGGTAGGGCTTCATGCCCATCTCAGGTTTAGGTATAGGTGAGCAGTGCCCGAGAAGCAATGTGTACCCGCTGCACAGAAGTAGACAGCTGAGTCTCCAGGTTGGGTGGCTGCAATGTGCAGGGAGAAATGTTTGGCCGTCTTACTCAATAAAAGAGTGAATCTTCCTTCTTTCTTGTTGTCCATATTTGAACGAATGTTTATAAAGAGCTGGGGACCTTTTCCAAGTTGTTGCTTATACCAAGGGAAGTAGTTTGAGGCACTGTCTGTATAAGTGCAGTTGATGACAGAAGTATCTCCCTCCTGGACATGCAGCGTAGAAGGATGCTGCTCCACATTCTCTCCTCTGGTCACCCCTATGCAAAAAGAAAAAGAGAAAGAAGAAGGGTTGTCAGGTCATTACTCTCTAGAATTTTCTTTTCCCTTAGTTACCAAAGGAAGCCTAAATAAAGCTAATCTCTTCTTTGGACTTCTAAAGAATATCCACTAATATACTTTTTTTCCCAAAAAAACTCAACTCACAGTCCAGCTGCAGCCATAAGAACATAAACAAAGTTTGAATGAATGTCTTCATTGTTCTTCCCAATTAAGATCAGCCACAGACCTGCAATCTCCAACCATTAGAGCTACTTCTTGTCCCTCATTTCTTTGACAATCATAGTGGTTTCTCACATTGCCTGCCCAGCCAATAAGAAAAAGGCTCTGTTTCTGTGGTAAGCCCATCCCTTCAGAATCCACATAAAAGAACCCTCCATATTCTACATCTGCAGAAGTATACTACCATCTTGTGGTCACATGCCTAACTACTGAACTCATTGGCTGAACGTGTTTTGTTTTGTTTTGTGTTTTGTTTTGCTTTTTCTCTTACCTATGAAAGACTCAGATGCACAAAAGCAGCAACAGATCAAACAAATTCGGTGTTTGCTCAGAGACTAAATGCACAGTAAGAACGTAGAGATCAAGATTTATACTTATACACACTACTTAGTAAGTTGGACAGAGTTAGATGCTGTGGTGTTTATTTAAAGATGGACTGAGTTTATATATTTGAAACCAGGAAAGCACCATGATTCACTCTCCCGAATAAAGAATAAACAATACTTTCTTTTTTTCAGCAAATCTATCATCATGATTTGTTTATATGGAAATAAACTCTTTCTTAAAGGAACATGTAAGCCAAAGATCAAAGTAAGAGAGACCACTCACTATTTCAAGTAGACATTATCTCAGGTTCTGCTTCTCCAAGCCTAGTCCTCCCATGACCTTGCTATTCCCAGGGAGCTGACAGTACCAACAGTCAAAATGTGGAATCTTCCTTTTGTAAAGTTGACTGCAATAAAAAGTAAAAGATAAAATCTCAATTACAAGGGAATAAGGGGATAAGTTCCGTGAGTTATTAATACTCCAACAACAGGAAACAGTTTGACCCATAGAATGGGTAGATTTGCAGTAAGAAATACGGCATGCTTTAAGAAATCTCCTCCTATTGCTATTTGTCTTATATTCCTCAAAGTACTGAAAAAAAAAAAGGAGAAGTTCTCAGAAAACATCGTGCTACAGATTTGGAAAATGTAAACACATGTAAGTTTATTCTTAAGGTGCCTTTATTTTCTGATATCAAAATGTATAGCACCTCCTTAAATGCAATGACTGACACATACTTAGTGGCATTTCCTCTAAAGCTGCAGTCCCCAAGCCCCAGGCCAAAGCCCAGTAAGAGTCTCTGGCCTGTTAAGAACCAGGCCACACATCACTGCCTGAGCTCCACCTCCTCCTCCCCAGTCCCTAGGCCCCACCCATCATGAGTGGAAAAATTGTCTTCCATGAAACTGGTCCCTGGTGCCAAAAAAGTTGAGGAACCCTGCTCCAAAGTATGAGCTCACTCTCCTGGGCATGGACTCCTGCTGCCTTGGCCATTGCTACCTCAAATTCCATACTCTCTCAATTTTCTCCCAAATGCTGCTACAATATTCTTTCCCCAAGATATTGATAAAGTCCTTCAGTCTTGTCAGTTTCCATTATTATCTCCCTCTGCCAAAAACCCTTTCTCATATACTTTAATTTCTTGCTATTTTCTGATTACTGCTGAAAGAATAAATCTACTAGGGAAGCTTAAGCATTGACTGTGTCTATTAGGGGGGATAGTACAAATGGGAAGGTGACCTTAAATAACTAAACATGAGAAATGGTTCCTAGGAAGCCAAGACAACCTTATGTCCAGAAGGGAAGCCCCTTTCTGTGATTTGTACTCACTAGACCCATGGAGTTATAGGAATAAATCTAACTCCTCCTCCACATCTCACACTCTTAAAGATTTAAGGACAGCTATAGTATATACTCTACAAATACGTGAGTGTGTGTGTGTGTGTATATATATATATATATATCTTATATGTGTTTTTACATATATAAAACTTCTTCATTCTAAGGATCTTCCATTCTCTCACCCACTCCCTAGAAGATAGAATTCTTAAATCCTTCACTGGGCAAATTTCCCCTTTCTTAGAGACAGATACTTTAGGCCAATAATTCTTTGAGTTACTGCACACAGAACTGAATATAATAATCTGAATATGATAACTCATATGGATGACAGCATTCCATTATATTAACTATAGCAGAGGTATAGCCATCTCCTGGACAAGATTTCCAGCCCATTATTTCTTTTAATTGAATATTGCCTACCTGGAAAAACTTTTTCTTGCACCTCCGTGGATTGCCAGCTGCATGAGGGCAATATTCCCCTCAGTGTCCCAATTCCAGTGATCCTTTTTGCTGGCAGTGTATGAGTGATGGTCATTATATTCACATGCTTCCTTCAAGAGATGTCCACCTTAGATAATAAATACATCTTGCCATTTTTAGGAAAGCCCTTAGAAATACAGTCATTCCTTGGAACCTGTGTGCGATTGGATCCAGCACTCCCCATGGATACCCAACCCACTCCCCATGGATACCCAACTCCATGAATGCTCAAGTCCCTTATATAAAAGGGTATAGTGTTTGCATATAACCTGAGAATATCTTCCCATATACTTTAAATCATCTCTAGATTGCTTATGATACTGAATACAATGTAAATTATTATTATACTATATTGTTTAGAGAATAATGACAAGGAAAAAAGTTTTTACACATCCAGTACAAACACAGCCATCCATTTTTTTTCCTGAATATTTTCAATCAGTGGTTGATTGAATCCAGAGATGTGGAGCCCATGGGTGTGGAGGGCCAAATGTACATCTAGATGTTGAAAGATGGCACCATCACTTTTGGCTCACTCCAAGAGAAGCTAGTGAGTGATGGACTGATTTGCTGGTAGAATAACAGTGGCACAGCCTGAGTCTCCTTTCCTGCACAAAGTGGCAAACATTTACACAAATTGGAATTCTCCATTCTCATGGTCAAACTAATTAGACCAAGGTTTTCCCAGACTCCAACTGCAGAGATCAAAGTGGGTGGGCTCCCACTAGACAGTTTTTCTTTGCTCAGCAATATGGTCCTGGGGGAATGAGGCAGAAGAAAGAACGTTAAGGAGGAAGTGAGGAACTCTAGTTTCTTTCTACTCCCAGCTTGTTTACTATCTAATTTTTTCATACTGGCATCTTGGATATAATTTCTGTCTTTGTAAAGTGAATCTGCACTAAAGGATTTCTAAAGGCTTTTCTAGCTCTAAAATTATTTTATGCAATTTAACAGAGCAAATATTTACTGAGGACTGCTTGTGTGCAACATGGAGTGATATGAGAATGCGGAGCAATCGACCTGCCTCATAGAACTCCAAGACCATTTTCATGTTCACCTGCAATTTAATGGGTCTGAGGTTACCCTTAACCAATCCTTGGACTTCTTGAGAAGCAGAGACAGGATCCACAGGATGAGAGCCTATCTGGGTTTTCATACCTCCTATACTATCAGTGATGAATTATGGATCAAGGAGAGCCTAAATCTATAGTAAAATGGAAACAAATGGGACTTTACTCACTAAGTGAAAAGACCATCTCAGGCAGTGATATGTGGGTGGACTCCATGGCTGATCCATGGGTAAGAAAGATATCTATTTCTTAAATTGATATGTATGACATAACATATCTTTCTTGAAAGAAACACACACACACACCCCTCAGCAACTTGGAAAACCTGGAAGAATGAGTTTACTAATACATAAAGCAGAAGGCACTTTCTCAAATATCTTGATTGCTTTCTGGCTTCAAGTTCTCTTCCTGCTAGTTTAGCTTGAAGGTTCAAGATTCTCAGCCAGGGCAGGGTATATAATTTGTTGTACCCAGTGCAAAATAAAAATTTGAGATCCTTTTTTCAAAAGCATAGAAAATGTATATATAAAATATAATGGTTTCTTTAAAAAATATTTAAATATTTTAAATATTTAAATATTTTTAAAATATTTTATTACTTATAAAACACAATAGGGTTTATAATGACACATAAGTAAGAAAACAAACTTACAAATTGCTAGAAAATATTTGGTGTTACAATTTTATATAATATAATAATATTTTATTAGTTTGATATCTTGATTAAGTTTAAGAATTTCGTGGCTAACTTTGCAAATTAATTTAGTAGATTGACAAAATTTATACCTTTAGCAACTTCACTTTCAAGCACTCCAACTGAATATAATGTCCATTGTTCTTGATTAATGCATGATTTCAAACAGAATTTTTGATAATTTCTAACTTTGAGTACATTTCTACTGATGCGACTGATACTGGAGCTCTTAACACCATTTTATACACTGTGACAATATTAGCATAAATATCTGATACATTTGTTTCAAATATAAATTTTTTTTTTTTTTTTTTTTTTTTTGAGACAGAGTCTCCCTTTGTTGCCCAGGCTAGAGTGAGTGCCGTGGCGTCAGCCTAGCTCACAGCAACCTCAAACTCCTGGGCTCGAGTGATCCTTCTGCTCAGCCTCCGGGTAGCTGGACTACAGGATGTGCCACCATGCCCGGCTAATTTTTTATATATATATCAGTTGGCCAATTAATTTCTTTCTTATTTATAGTAGAGACGGGGTCTCGCTCTTGCTCAGGCTGGTTTTGAACTCCTGACCTTGAGCAATCCGCCCGCCCCGGCCTCCCAAGAGCTAGGATTACAGGCGTGAGCCACAGCGCCCGGCCGAAATATAAATTTTAGTAAATCTAGGATTGACTTTTCTAGTAAAAAATTTTCCTACAATGATTTAATCTTCCACCTGGTCAGTATGATGTAAGTCTATATTTAATTTTAAATAAAAATACATACGCAGCATTTAAATGTTTCCTCTGACATTTTCTGTAACTTGTAGGAGCTGTATAAGAACTGAAGGTGGCTTCATGTTATGCATATAATTCACAATGCTTGCTTAGGCACACTATCACTTTATCTTCAAATTAAGAAAAATTAACTTGGAAATTATCCTCTATGTCACTAACTGGTTTATTCAAACCACACATGAAAATGATGTTCTTTTCATCAATACATTTAATTTCTATTTCCAAACCTGCGATATTCACTTTGTAATATTGCATGAATTTTCACAATCAGTTTTTAAACTTTTGGAAGAATTCTAACTCCCTGATATGCTTTACTGCAATGTCCATATTTTA